TATACATAATTCTAATTACGGCTGTGGTAACTTCAATCGGTACTAAGGTAAGTAAAGAAGTAACGTAACATATAGTCAAGGATAATAAATAAATTATTCAACTTCAGAGTTTAGAAACTAGTTATCTTTAACCGACTTCTAAAAAAGATATATTATCATTTTGTTAATGAATGTTCTTGTAAGTATTAATCGTATAATAAATTTGTAGTAAATTTTAGAAACTATTTAAGAGTTTCTAAAAATGCGGACAAATATTTACTTAATATTCAATTTGGTTTTAATTTACGTTTCTTCTATGTAAAGCTTACCTACATATATAAAGACACAGAAATATACTCGTCGGAGGAAGTACACAAGAAACTTCAGTTATAAGAATATAACGTAAGGGGCATTGGATTAAAATAAAAACTTTTTGATTTTATTAAACTAAAGATTTAATAAAATTCAAAACATTTATTAAATAATTTTGAACAGAAAAAAAAACAGAAGACAAAGGTAATTAAGAACATCGAAAGTTTTTTGTCAGCTGGTAAAAAATATTAAGACTTGAACAAATTATTTAACTAATGTGAAAGAACCCTTGTGCAGTCTTGAAACAACACGGCCAACTTCCCATTATGTCAATGCGTAAATGATTCATTTGTATAGTATCTGACTCTGTTACAACGATAAAATTATATATCCTCTGAAGTATTTTTTAACTGAGTCATACTTGGTATTTTCTTACCATATATGGTATACATATACAACCGATCCACTAACGCACAGTATTATTGTTTAATAATGGTTTTACCATGTTCGAGATAGTCGATGGATCTCACAAATCGACGCAAAACTCTTTTTGCCTTTGATCAGTGACAGAACTTAAAATTGGATATTTTTCATAGGTATTTAACAAACGCCATCGTTTGAAATTCCTGAATGATATGATTTGAGACACGAATGATTATAACTAACTCATTCAACTTTATTTTGCGGCAGTTTTGCGGTAATAAAATACTTTTAATCAATGATGTTTTTGATCAGGGAGCATTGTTTTATCAAACCCCGAAATTGATTTTCCTCTAGTGTAAATATAAAAGGTAGTATCACTTTGAGACTAATAACTCAAGAATGATTGGATAAAGTGTCATGACACTTTGACAGTAATCTAGTTAAACCTTTAACCACTGAAATTGAAGTACTTGGTATTTTCTTATGCAAATTTTACTTCTAGCCTGATCTAAGGCACTATAACGAATCTAAATTTTTTTGGACGTACCATTTTTACTTTGCAGTACCAGGTGAAAAATCTTGAAGACGTCTTTGGGCGGATTTAGTAGGTTAGCTGCAAACATGTAACATGTAATTTCTAATGAAAAGCGAATCATTTGTCTATTGCATAATCTGTACAAAAATTTTTTCCATATTGGATTTCGTACAGAAAGTGTGCGTTCCCAATTTTCGCACAATTCATACAATTTATTTATACCCCATTCAGAAATATGACTTAGTTAGTAAATTTTACTTTCCAATAAATGATGGGCTCGTTTTCCAACAGTTCTACTTTTAGAGTGTGCAGCAGAAAGTGGGCGGCCAACCGATCGTTTCTTAATTAAAACTCAAAGCTCTACTCTCAATACTACAACTAAATTCTTGCATTGTCTTAACTGTTATCTTATCTTAATATTAGATGCTACATTTATTTCTGCGTCTAGGTTTCGAAATAATATAAATGCATTTGTTATAGCCATTTTGAGGAAATGGAAAAAAAACCTGGTTGCTATATCTTGTATTCTGAGGCTGAATCCATTTCGGCCCACGTAGGAGTTCATTAAATCAACACCTCCATATATGCTTTATAATCACGTATAATTTGCGGAAAGTAATTGTCAGCATAGAACTGCTCTTTTCTATAAGAACATGAAATTTGGTTAAGGGGCGTCAGTTAAGTTCAAAGTTTGACATTTTTTGTATTCTTCCACAAAACTGTTGCGATATCGATTGTCGAATATCGATGTAATGTTTTCTTAAATTTTTTGCTTCAAAATTTTGAAGTACTTACTATCTCCAGGGAACTCCCATTTCAGTTTTTTGACTGTTGCAACTTTTATTCCTTTTAATCATACATGACATATTGTAACTACAACAATCAACCGGAAACATCCTTATAACGCCCAATAAATGATGGTAAGGCAAAATATGGTTGGCGGATTTTTATTTGTTTGAGCTACCAAGCCCAAAAAACACTCATATATGATAAACGTTAAGATTAGTACTTAGACAAAAATAAAGATTTCTTCGCATGATTTTCCCATCTTACGCAGTCTAACATCTAATGGTTTAGACCAACTATGCCCAAAGTTCGCGAGTTCAAGGCGTGGGCATAGCTGGAATAAAAGCTTCTCACTCAAATCATTTTAATCCAAATGCTTATTTTTGTTATGAGAATGGTAAGCGTGGTAAAGAGTGTCATTGAGCACGTACATAAAAATACACAGAAGTGTGTACAACTACTATTAAACTTTGACAGTTCTTCTCATTTATGACGTGGCGTATCGGCTTCTATTTGTAATATTTTGTTGCTATTTGTTGTTTGCTTTTATTAAAATTGCACTACCATCTTTCTTTCCAGCTTCTTAGACAACTATGAATCATGTAACACACATTCTTATGGCATCCAATAAGTGCCAACGAGTGGCGCACTGACTATGCCTACAAGACTTCATTATTTAACCACGACCCAGGATACAAACGTTGTTCCCCATTTCCTAAGCAAAAATTATCAATAACTTTATGACTTTTATCACACTCTATGTTTGGGGATTTCGTTTTGTCTGCAAAATGCTGTCAAATGAAATTTAAATGACATCTGTCTGACAAAAACGGGGAGTACCAACCAACAACCCGGGTACAAGTAAAGCTAAAACAGCTTTGCGTTTGCATTGTTTTTCGCCACTACCAAATGATTAGGGTACAGGAAATGTTTAAAATGTGAAAAATTAAGGAAATTATTGTTTTCTGCCGTTCAACACACTTCGCAAACGCCAAAGGAGTGCGCAAAACCGGGACAAGGACATTCGCCGAACTTTTTCTTTTCAAAGCAGCTTAACTTGATGGCGTGAGCTTAGCTGAAGGCATTATCGAAAATTCGCCTTGCAAGCCGCAGGTAACAAAGCGGTGCTCCTGAACGCACGTGCCGAACACTCTCGAATGGTGCCAAGTCGTGCGGCGAAGTTATGAGCAGAAGTAGAGAATTGTTTTATGAATTAATAAAACGTTGCCTAGATGTTGACACAATTTGACTGTGATGCACATGAAAATTTAAATAAGAGGAGAAATTTGGAAGTGGATTTTATTATGTTAGTGAGAATGTGAATTAGAAACAGTTTGACAGGAACTTTAAATATTTTCAGAGCTTCTAAATAAACTATAAGAAATTGAGTAAGCCTCTTGTCTAAGGGAAAGTCATGAAAATAAATCGATAGTTACCAAAAGTTGACTCCGGAACTTCTGTACTCTTAAAATTATTGCAGCTTTTTATAGAGACAGTTACTTGTATATACTTGCAGCCGATTTCAGAATTTAGTGTGTTTATTCTTGGTCTTTACATAATTTACTAGGACTTTTCAAATCCAACCAATTACGATGACGGTATACTTCAGGATATTTCGAAAAAATGGATTTATAAGTATTCTTTTTAGAAATTAGGGGACAAGTAGCATCTGAAGGTATGAAATGTAACCTCTTCATGTTTTGATAAAACGTGCTTCCCATAACTGAAACTGAAAAAAAATTATTATAATTATAATCTTACGTTATATCTGTACAGTTACAATATTCTTTACGAAAACTTGTAATATTTATACTTCGAAAGGCGTTGAATTTATAACGCCCTACAAATTAATAAATTTTTCACGGATAAACGCTGTGAAGTTTCAATCAATATGCTCTCTCTGTGAGTGCACAATCATGTACATGCGAGTATATATGTATATTAGGATTTTGATCTCCGATAAATTGGTTGATATACACCTCAAAGTAAGGCTAACCAAGTATGAGCTCTTAGTTGTAACGAAAAGTCTTCCGCTTAACGGTTTTTTATTTTCTCTGTTTTTCTTTTCCCGTTTCTTTGTTGTTATTGTTGTAGCGGCAGAATTCTGACTGCCGTGGGAAAGGGTTTTTTGTGTTTTCCTTCGATAGGCATTGCTGTTAGACGATGAATAACTCGTAAACGATTAACTTAATAGAAACATTATGCCGACCATTATTGTAAAGAAGAAAATTTTCAACAAGACTATCTTTACAATTTAAAATGATTTTGTTTTCATTAATTTATAATATTAAAAAAAAAAAAAAAATATTTGTCTGAAAATAGTCAAACTTCAACCTTTAATATCTTTTAAGCGGCTAGGTTTACGAAAATATTGTAACAGACCTTTTTTAAAGAGCATTCAATTTCCTACAAAATCCACAAGTTGTGTTATGTTTTCAAGCATTTAGAAGCGAGATATAGTTAAGAGCTCATACTTGAAGAGCCTTTCTTAGAGGTGTCTATTAACCAATTTTTCAGAGTATGGAACGAAAAAACATTAGTTTTTTAACCCACCCTGATGTACATACATACATATATATGTATGCATACATTGTGCACATATTAGCATAACATAAATATACCCCTACTATAATGATATTAGCACCCCAATCCTCGTCTACTCGAAATTAGAATAAAATAAAAATTAGCACAAAAATGTAACCTCATTTCCTTTTTTTTCCATTTTAAGTGTCGCGTACTGAATCCATAATTTGCGTACATTTTTCATTTTTAAAATATTTCACGTAAAAAAATTAACTCAAATATATGGAATTTTAAATACATCAGAGACTCGCTCCCTCTTTTTCACTCGCTCCCGCTTTCCGTTGTGCAGAATTTCATGCGACTGAAGAGAAATGAGCGCCCGCACCAGTTTTGATTCAACTTTTACTCATCTAATGATGCAATGAAAAATATTTTGTACGTACTTTATATTCTGAAGTGAATTTTATACTTTTCAAATTATTACTAGGGGAAACAGGAGGAAAATTGTCGAAAAAATTTAAAAGGGAAAATCAAAAGAGACGTATACGTGTACAGCAGCAACACAAACCACACCGAGGCGAAATCTTAGTGAGAGCAAAGTGTTGCTGAGGGGTCGGCCGTGGTTTTGTCAGAACGCTTATTGGAGGGGGAATGTGCCCTGATTGCACCACGGTTTAAAGCACGTTATTGAATGCCGAGTGTGAATTGCCACAACTTTTTGCTGCATTAGTTGTTGATTCAAGGTATGATTGAACCAAAGGTACAACAACACATAAAAACTTCTTTATATGTAAGTAAATATTTATATACATATATTGTAGTAAATTTGTGTTTCTAAGTTCATATAAAAATTGATCTGAAGCTGAGGGAAATTGTTGCTCTTTGACACTTTAAGCATGTCATTTTAATTTTTCGTTACAGGTACAGTGCAGAACTATTTTTCACCGTTTTGGTAATTCGTTCAATTGAAAAAAGCTTACAAACGTAATAAAATTCCTATAGATTGTTATTGCCGGATTATGAAATAAAATCGTTCTTATAGCCTGATTGGTGATACATACTTGTACATAGGCATATGGTATATGGGCAAGATAAAGGCATAAAATTTTTAAAATATTTATTGTATAGCGATCGAAAAACTTTCTAAGGCTATTATTTTAGAAAACATAAAAGTTCAAATTACAATTAGGAGTAGTTGGAAGAGAAATAAGGTCTTTCTTCCTCTTAAATTGTATCCTAAAAATTGTGTACAAAAGGTACGATGATTTGGAAATATTGACGACGATATTTCAGAAAGACGCACAAAATTTTAAGCATTTCCTTACGTGGTACGAATTTTATTGATAAGATTTTATATCGGATTTTCCAATAGAGGTGATATGATTTCTAAGTGTCGTTTCGGCCATTTTTAATATGTCATGATCTGTAATTTTTTTATTGTATTCGGCAGTGTTTACAATTTAGTCATGGAAAGATATCCGCACGAACAACGTTTACAAATTATTCAATTTTATGAACAAAATAATTGTTCTCCGATTGCAACTTTTCATGCGCTTTTCTTTGCATAATGTTCAAGTGCCAATAAGACAAAGAACCGCTCGAAGTAATGAAAATACTGCTTCCGTTCAAGAAAGATGTTCTCAAGAATTGGGTCCGTCTCAAACCACAAACTGGCGGATTTTGAGAAAGGATTTGGCCTTGCATCAGTATTGTAACAGTATAAAATTATTCTAAATCAAGAACTGAAACCATTGGACCACCGTAAACTTCGTGAATTTACTGGTTTTGTCTTGGAACAAGTTGAAAACGATAACAATTTTTTTAAGAAAATCATTTACAAAACTGTCGATTCTGGTGCGAAGAAAATCTACAAATTATTCATGAACAACCATTACATTTACCTAAATTGACAGTTAGGTTTGGTATTTGGTTTGGTGGGATCATCGACCCGTACATATTTCTAAATGAAGCTCTGGTGACACCGTTACTGTCAATGGAAAGCTGATAGCTAAAATTATGAGATTATGTAGTATTTAATGAAGATGATGTTAAATTAAGTATTCATCAAGCATTGTGAATATGAAGGAAATGCCAGAAAATATGCTTTCTTATTAGACTAATAATTTCCCCCTTATATGCTACAATTACCAATTGATATCTGTTATGTATATCTGTATCTGCAGCAAACAAGCTAAAAACTTTATAAAAAGGAAGTTTGATATATCTCATGTTTATATAATCCAAAATATGTTAACAGTTTAACTTCACCCATCATAAAATTATTCATTATTAAGTCCAGAGTTGTCTATTGCCTAACAAGTGATATAAATCTAACTTTTAAGAGGTATCCATGTACTCATGAAATGGATATCACTGCAGTTTTCATATGCAAATTGTTTGACAAGAGAGCAAATTTTAAACATAACGAGCAGAGAAATGGCGAAGCGAGGATGTCATTGATGTGATAATTATTCGAGTTAAACGAAGGTAAGTTACGCTTAAAAATATGTGGTCTTCGATTGAGAGTAATTTACTTCCAGTTTATCTTTTAAAGGATATATCATGCAATATGCTTACATATTTATAGAAAGGTAATACTGTATATTACCTTCTCCTTCTATTATTATGGGGTGCTTCAGTGTAATCCAACAAACTTCGAACGACTGATGAATAATAACGATCGCGAACACACTCTACTCTATTGTGTACAAGGAATCCAGCTTTCAAGGTCGGCAAGTGCAGCTACTTTCGGATGCAACTTTCTTGCACTTAAATAGTGTAAGCTCTGTAACCTCATAAAAGCTCCTTAACCGCTACATATGTATTAAGCCTGTAAGCTTTCATAAGTACTGAGCTCAATTTCATTACGTTCGCTGCTCATAACAGTTGTAACTGACAGACTGGCGGCCGCGTAAGTGAACATTTGTCAAATACTTTGACAGAAGTTAATCAGAGCGTCGGAAATGAGCGAAGGTTTACTAAGCTACGTAAAATTATATATAGCCATATATATGTACATATGTACGTATGTTTACAGTTATGTAGTAAAAGCAGATAACTACAGTGTTTACCCGCACTTATTTTGTAAGACCATAAGAGCTTTCATAACACGGACAGATGGATAAAACAGACAAGTATTCGAGTCATACGTGTACGCCGTTTACGTAAATAAATATACAACACTTTGTATTGACAACCCTTGACTCGTACAAGTTTTCGTGACCAACCACTGAAATATCAGTCAGTTGCAGCGCCCCCAATGCAAAGTATGTTTATCTGTGTGTGGCATGATGGCGTTACTGTGGTTTGTCGCCTCCATGCCAACATAAATCCTCTAAATCTCTTCGCGATATGCTTAACACTCATTCATTTTGGTGTTGTAGGTCGGAGCTTCCACTCTTTGTGCTGCCACTCTTTGAACTCTTTTGTTGAATGAAGGCATATCTCTGCAGTGTTAAATTTGTCGGTCGTTTAAATATATAAATATGAAAATGGGTAAGCCTAAATTACTTTAGCAACAACCCCCGGCTCGCTTCATTGGCTCCTTTGTGTTCAATTCAACGAACCACGCAACCGATTATTGCACTGGCTTCATCAAATGCACACAGTCGCACGGGTTATTTTCCTCATTCACTTTCAACTCAACACACTCCTCTCTCGTTTGGCTTTTATGCCCTCCATACATAACATTTTACACGGTTGGTGGTCCGTTTAGTTGCGTTGGCATCCTGTCTCCAACACTACGAGCAATTCGCAAATAAGGTACTCATTCAATCATTCAATAACCTTCTTTGGATAACACCAGTCAACAGCATTTTTTGCGCACAAGTTGTACATACCTTTTTTGCTTTTATGTATAAAAATGAAAAAATTCAGCTCAATAAAAAATTTTCAAAAATTTTATATATAATATAAATAATTTATTAAAAGATACCGATCATGCATTTGGGATTCATTCTTACAATGAACATTTTAAAATAGACTCTAATGTTTAAAAATAAACAATTTTACTTTTCCTGTCATGTTCCGAAGAAATTTCTCTTATTAACCCTCACATATAGCCCCCAATACTCAAATTCCACTAATCTTAGTTCTTCTCTCAATGAAAATCTAATATGTGCATGTTTAGAGACATTCTATTGTACATTCGATGATGGAGAAATTCGTAATCGTGTCAGTGATCAACTCCTCATAATTGTCAGCTTAAAACTGTTCGAGGCTTTTTTTCTTCTCAGTACATGACAGATGTGGAGCTCATATTTTGTCCTGATTTTTAACAGGTAGATCGAAGTAAGCTTGATATGCTTCGCTCATCTTTAAATTTTTACGTAAATCATACTTATTCACTCTCATTTTAATAAATTCGCGACAAATATATATGTAAAACCCATGAGCAAAACAATTTTTTTTTGTTGACCTGTGTAATTCATCCAGATCAATTATTGCCTTAATCCAATGGATTTGTGTTGATTGTGATTGTGTAATTAGCACTTTTGTGCATGTATGCATATAAAAATGCCAGAGGCGTTTTAAAAATTTCCAAAGATAAAAAGCAACCAAAAAAGCGAAAATCTTCCATTATGTAGAATGCTTATACTGAACATTGTATCACAGGCGTAGTAAAACTTTGAATCTGGATCTATATTAACCGATATACTGAAAAATGTATTTAAAGGGTTCTTCAACTCGTTAGAATATGGAAGATTTTATGAAAGCGTTCAAGTACGCAAAACTCTGGCAGAGGAAAGAGTAATAACTTTAACTTTTTTTTTTTTAATCAAGAAGTGTTCTCGGCAAAAATGAGACAAGATTTGCCACACTCTGCGTAATTTTCGAAACGAGCTGTAAAGTTTTCATCGTACCCGCGAACAAAGCTTTTCTCTTTCTTCGTTCATGATGTCAACAAGTAATGTATTTCCTGTCAAATGCTATCCAAAAAAGTAACGGTACAAAACAGTAGTAATCTCTATTTCTTTCATTGTTGCTTAATGTAGATATGTATATTTTTATGTTACTTTGAGCAAATTGGCGTATTTTACAATATCATTTCGGTTAGTTACGACTCGGTATAGTCTCGTCGAAAATATTTCTGATTCACGCATTGCGGCACTAAAATAAAAGTTACCAAGGATAAGCACGAAAGGTTTGGTTCTATCGTATGCTATAACAGATAAAGATAGTTTTCCGTTCAATTTAGGCTCACACAAAAAAAAACCATTCTAAAAGGTAAACTTTAAGATTCAGTGAGTCCAACTAAGCAACAACTCGCAGACTTCGATACATTTTTGGAGTATTTCCTAGTTCAACATTTATTTTAGATTGGAACGTTAGCCATGGGAAATATTTCGTCCCGATACCATAAACCTTGTAATACTCTATTTCATGTCTTTTACCTGGTGAAATTACGGTCAAGAATGACTGCCATGTCATTCAGTTTCCATTTTTCTAAAAGTAAGAGGCCTTGACGCCCTGAAGTAGCGTTCCAAGACCTGATATGTCCCTCTATCATCGATTGTTTAAAAAAACGAAGTTTACGGTCTTGGACAGCTGAAGAGGATTGTCGTCCCGGCCATGGAAACGATTAACATTTAACATTTCTTATAAAGTTAGAGACTAGGTTTGGTCCTAAAGCGGCATACCGATCTGAATTAATTATGTTTGCCACATAAAGAAAATCGGTTAGATTAAAGGTCCCTTGGTGCATTTTCTACGCCTCGTATATATATTCAATAATCGACCTCGCCGTCACAAATTTATCTACCCTATTTTCAAATTTCTCACACTCTAATCTCCAACTCCAACGACAGAGTACAAACACTAAAACCTAAGAAAAATAATGGCAGCGTGTGCTTTCAGTTAACTCAGCAAGCAGACATCATCAGTCATTACTATGCTAAAGAGTGAACTTGCCGCCGTTGAATCCCGCTCATTTTATTCGTCGCTTACAGCTCCAACATATCCACCGACACAGCCAGCCAAGCTTCGTGGTCTTTGCGACGCATATGACACAGCTCCGGCGCTGTTGCCGGCACTTCATTGCGGCTTAACACAGTTCAGGTCAGACGAGGCGGGTTGGGACGAGTACGAGTCAGCCCAGACCAATATAATGCGCGCGCGGCACGATTCACAAGTTGTCGAGCAAAGTAGGTCTGCATTTTTAATAGCGAGCGTTGATTCTGATTGTCTTTTGCCTATGCATGTACTTTAATATGTATGTATGCACGTACTTTGTTGCATGCCACGCTTTAAAATGCAGTTAGTCGGCGGCGTTGTCAATGCTCGGTGCATGTGGTGTGTGTTCACCATTTTATGTTTTACCTCCACCTATCTCTTTGCTTCTTTCGAGCCACACTTTGAGGCAAATGCGGATATGAATATAAATTGCGATTCGAGCTACATGCATAGAGTTGTCCCAGATTTCGACCGTCTGCTCGACACCCAAGCTACGCGAACTGTGGTAGTTTGATAAGTGGCAATGGTATAAATCATTGTTGAGTTCGCGGAGTGCAGTGTGCGGCTGAAGTGTTTTCCAGCAAATGAGTTGACGGCTTTGCACGCGAGCGAGCCACGGCTGTAATAAGGAAAATAATATAAATATGTAGCCATTAACGCGGACGTGATAATTTTGCTTAAAAGTACAGGGTTTATGACGACAAATTTTGTTTCGGAATACCTATTCTAATTTGTATAATACGAAAAGAAATTTAAAACATTAAAAAACGTTAACTTCGGACAGGCGAACATGGCTAAATAAATCCAGCTCGTCAAGATGATCATTTATATACGAGTATATATGTATATTCAGCTACAAAAATAAACAGTAATAATTTTTTTTAATCAATGTATTACATTTGTTTTTATTATTATTTTTTTTTTTGTATTGCAAATTTTTTTTATTTTATTATATATAATTAATTATTTTGAAAATTTATGGACCTTAAATGACATCCATGCTCAGCCACGCATATACGACACCTAATTAGAAATTTATTCATTGCGGCCTGAAGGGTTGAAGTCGGTATTGCCTCAATTATCGATTTAATGAAGTGCTTCAATTCCGTCAAATCTTTGAGTTTTGTTTTGTACACTTCCTGCTTGGCATAACCCCATAAAAAAAGTCTGGTGCAGTCAGGTCCGGTGACCTGGGTGGCCAGCAGAAAGTGGAGTTTATTGATGTAATTTGTTTTTAAATTTTCGTTGGAGCTCCGCAATAACCGGTCTGGCTATGTATGTATCTTGCTGAAACCAAACGCTATTGAAAGATGGTCGTCTTCGGCGCAGTTCAGGGTAAAAAACTCATTCAACATCTTTAAACAACTGTGCCCATTGACAGTTACTGTTACAACGTTTTCTTCAAAGAAGTATGGCCCGACAATACATCTTGATGAAATTGCGCACCACACAGTGACTCGTTCTGGATGAAGTTCCGTCTCTTGCATTATTTCTGGATTTGATTCACTCCAAACACGGCAATTTTGCTT